CCCCCCCCACCCCAAAAAATGCAATAACATTTTGATCGTTGTCACCAAAGAAAGATGGTACATATAAGTTTGATTCAACATCAGAGAAATCCTGCAACCGGATTGCTTTGCATGCTTCTGCTATTGCCAGGACATTAAACGTCAACAGAAAAATAATTAATAGGTCAACAGAAAAACGAAGAGGTCAAGAGAAAAACAAATCGGTCTTAAAAGATGCCGAAGAATAGAGATTTTACCAGAGGGTGAAATACAAAGAAAATAGGGAAGAGAGATAGAACACATAGATGTTTGATAACAAAGGAGGAGCAAACCATAGAAGAGCACACGCCAGCCAGCCACGATTGGACATTTAAAAGGTGGAGCCCTAAAGGCGCTCGATAAAATGGCGGACGAAGCAAAATTACATTATTTGGGGAAGGGTGGGGAACATCCAGGCCCTATGCCTACAAGGTTTCGAACGTGTACTTTCAACTTTCAGCTCTCCAGATATATTTTGTAACCAACAGCACCGTCAAAACGTGTGTGCTAAACTTGTATTATTACACGTTATTCTTTAATGAACATGGACTTATTAGAAGAGGAAAAATTGTTAAAGGCCACTATCAACTGGATCCTTTCTTTCAGTCGGAATAAACGCGAACATCATGTGGCTGGTTTTGTTCTTTGATTTGTTTTATTTTTGATCTACTTATTTTATTTTCATTATTTTTATTTCGTTTAAAAAGGGGGTGGGGCAGGTTATTTGGCTCTGTAGTTGTCGGTGTAGTTTATCGTAGGCCATTATATAGGTTTAACCCCTTCATTAATAGAGAACTGTTTTATAACCCCATCAAATACTTATACAATCTTAGCGAGGTACTGAAAGGGTTAAGTGTCATGAGTAATGCCAAAGGGTGGTTTTCTTTCAAAAACTTCTATTAGGTGTAGTAATTGGCTGCAAATCATTGTAATTAACATGATTTCCTGTGCAGATCTTCAGAGCGAAATAGATTTAGCTTTGAAAGTCAACTCCTCCCAATATTACCTAACAACTTCTCCAAACCCAAAAATCAAAATAACATCACATGCACACATAAAGTAGCACAAACACACACACACACACACACACACACACACACACACACACACACACAAACACACACACACAAATTTACATTCCTTCCCTCATTACGTCAGAGCTTGAAACGAGGTAATTAAGATTAAGTGGATGCAATCTAAACATTTTTATAAAGAAAATAACACGAACTCGTTTACTTAAGAATAATTTCTTAATTAAAGTATTACCGGATAATGGCTGTTCGCTCAATATTTTTTACTAAGTGTTGAGATACAATCTGAGATACCTTTTTGCAAAATGCATGTACGACAGAGTGCTGGTTAAAAGCGCGAGTAATCTCTTACACAGTGGCCATTAGCTTCGTAGGTGGTCCGACACCAGCGTTTCAACTGTCCTGCTTGATTTAACGGAGCTCTGCTTTAATTAAACGGTGTTTTGTATCCCCCGATTTTCTTAAAACGGTGAGGTAAGAAGAGAGTTTTACATGTTGCCTGCATGTACTAGCTCTAGTTTCATGCAATCTATAATTTTTTTTAACGTGACCTGTCTGTAAGAACTGCAAATTTAGAGCACAAACAACGCTTCGCTCACCGACAAAGATAACGACGATGTCAAAAATAATACATTAGCATGAAAGCATCCAGGAATTATAAACATACATTTGTTTGAAGAGAAGAGATACAGGGTGGGTGGGGGAGCTGATTGCTTCAAAAGTTGTAATAAAATAAACTGTGGCACCAAAAGTCATAAAGAGTATATACAGCATGAGCTATTTATTGTTGGCAGTAGGCTATATAACATTTCAAATTGTATTGTGAGCATCATTTCATACTTGCCCAAATTAATTTCTGGGAGTTTGTTGAAAAAAGCCTTTATACGAATAAAGAGATCAAGGCCTACCATACGCTCCAGTTAAGTTCGGTTTTGTTATTTCCCTTTAAAGTGTTTAACTAAAAAATATCTATTGCCCAAATCCTAATTCATTTTTCAGAATTTAAAAAATAATTATTCAGTCTAGGAGTTTGTGGAATGTCGCTGGCTCTATCACCTTTGTGTCTAACGAAGTACGATTCACAAATAAATGTAATTGCATTACTCTGCAAGGTCAAACATACTTGAGTTAAAAGATTTTTGAGCTTTGTGTTTTGAATAATGGCCTTGATCTATGAGAGAATTATTTTTTTAAACAGACGATTGTACTAAAATCATAAGTTGATTAAAAAGTGTTACAGAAAGACTAGGGTGACCATCGAAAACTTGGGGGAG